TATGTGGAGATTACGAGTCTTTAGACCGTGAGCTAGTCGCAATTCTGCGATCAAAGCCTCATATTCCGCTTCGTTGTTTGAAGCGTGGAAAATTAATCGAAACAATTTTTCTAACACTTCTCCCGTCGGGGATGCAAGTCGGATGCCGATCCCGGAGCCTTGTTTGGACGAGGACCCATCAACGTATAGGATCCAAGTCGAGTTTGGCTCCTGATCGGGTGTGCCCCCCGTCGGGAGTTCTACTAAAAAATCTGCGAACACTTGCGATTTCGCACAAGTCTTTGCACGATATTCGATGTCGTACTCGCTTAGCTCGATTGCCCGTTTTGCTAATCTTCCCAACTGGTTGGGGCTATGCAGAATTGTGCAGAGAGGGAAAGAAGTGGGCACGACGATAGTATTAGATTGGATGTACGGTCTCAGTTTCCTTGCCGACATGACCACCGCTAATGCCAATTTTTCCATCATCGGATATCGCGTTTCCGCGTCCAGTAGCGTCTTACTTACGTAAACGATCAGCTTTTACTCGCCGTGTTCTTCTCGGATGAGGACACCACTTACGGTGGTCGTTGATACCGCGATGAAGAGAAATAGTGGTTCTCCTTCTACGGGTTTCGCGAGTACTGGAGGGGTAGCTAGGTAATGCTTTAGCTGTTGGAAAGCTTTCTCGCATTCCTCTGACGGATGCGACGGCGAACCGACACTTTGCAGGATTCAACTTCATGTTATGAAGGTTGAGCCTCACGAAACATTCCTGGAGGTGCACGACATTATCTCGTTCCTCGAGTGATTTCACAAGCATATCGTCGATGTACACTTCATCGTCTTTCGAGTTGTTCGGAGAACATGCGAGTCGTTGATAAGTCGCGCCGGCATTCTTAAGGCCAAAGGGCATTACTTTATAGCAGTAAGTTCTGTGATCAGCTATGAATTCGGTTTTCTCTCGATCGTTAGGGTTTCATCATGATCAGATTGTACCCCGAAAAAGCATCCATGAAAGATAAGAGTTTGTTGCCTTCGGTTGCCTCGACTAAGCGATCGATATGCGGTAGCGGGTAACTATCTTTAGGACAAGCTTTATTGAGATCGGTGAAATCGACGCACACTCGCCACTTTCCGTTCTTTTTCTTAATGATGACAGGATTAGCGAGCCAGTCAGGATATCGAACTTCTGTGATCAATCCGACTTCGTTGTTGATTGCTTCGGCGCGTTCTGACCCTAGTTTCCGTCTTTTTTGTTTGACGGGTTTGGATGTTGGATCAACATTGAGTTCGTGACACGTGATGTTAATATCGATTCCTGGCGTGTCTTCCGCAGTCCATGCGAACGTATTTGAGTTTCTTTTTAGACAAGCCAGAAGCTCGGTTTTCAAAGTCTTGCTCAGGTTCGCACCGATTTTGACGCAGCGTTTTGGGAAGGCTTCATCGATGCATACCGAGATGATAGGTTCACAGGTAGGCTCGCGTTTATCTTCCAGTGCGTCGGCTGCTCGCAACTGCCAAAAGATTTCCGTTTTATCTAGTTTTGGGGCGTTGTCAAGGGCAGACAGTTTCTTTTTCTTTCTGGAAGGAGCGTCGGCCGGCAAATTTTTCCGTTTTAAATCCGCGGCACAGAAAACCTGCGAGGTTCTCCGATTTCCCCAGATGGTCTCGATTCCGCGCGGAGTTGGAAACTTAAGACACATAACGTATGTTGATGGTACCGCTTGAATCGAATTCAACCACGGTGTCCCTATGATTTCGTTGTAGGACATGGGCCGATCGACGACTAGGATTTTGACGTTTTTGACTATGCTTTCGGCTTAAACCGTGAGGTTGATCGTGCCGAGAGTCATGGTGATTTTTCCTGCGAGTCCTACTAGCGGGCTTGCGTTTTCCGCGATTTCAGACAGATCGATTTCCATTCTTTCGAGAGTGTTTTTGAAGATGATATCAGCCGAGCTTCCGGTATCAACTAATATCCTTGCAATATCCATATTCTGGATTGTCAGCTCGATGACAAGAAGATCGTTGAGAGGCTTGATCGAATCGATCGTTGCTCTTTCCTTGTACGAGATGATGTCGCCGTTTAAGTTAGGCATATCTCTTCTCGTTCGTTTCAGCGGTTATTGTGTAAGAGAATCCGACCCCCTCCTTCTAGCGCTAAACTGTGGGAATCGAAATTCGCACTGTCAATTTTCCATCAAATATGGAAACTTAGGGAAAACCCTAATTCTCCGAGGTCCTGGATCTCTGCAGAAACAACTAAAACTAAAAAGATTAACAGAATATGGATGAATAGAAATAACAACGAACAGAGTATAGATAAGGAATTTGCGTAAGAGCTTTTATTGATAAAGAGATTGACTGCTGTTACAAAGAGAATCGCAGAACTTAGACGTCAAAACGTTCTAAGGATCCGACTTGCTAGTCTAAACACCTAAGTCCTAAATTCGCCTCAGCTAACAGCCGTGTTTCTAGGTCTGGAATTCGTCCCGTGCTTCTGTCCTCTTCCATTTATATCAATCTTTCCTTTCTCTGTGCGGAAATCTTCTATTTATCTTCAAACTTAACATTAATCTTCTTTCTGCGAGTAAATCCTAAAACCGTCATTGTATCTTTGGGCTGGATTTAGTTTAAAGTCACAAGTGGACTTCTATCGCGCTTTTGGGCTATCCGAGCCGTTTTGAGATAAAAACCGTTTTACGAATTTAAACGAGATCATTTCCTGATACGATGACATGTTTGAAGATAAGTAGAAGATTTTTGCGGGAAAAAGGAAAGATCGAGATAAATGGAAGATTTCCCGATAAACTCGAATCTGGGCGAAATGGAAAGACTAAACCGCCTAGGAAGGGAGTATATAAGCAAGAGGCATAGGGCAGAAGCAAGGGACGAATTTCAGAGCTCTCATCTGAGACTTTTACAACTTTTCTAGACTCAGAATTTTCCGCACTTAGAAACTTAGGCTTTTTTTTGACAAGTTCGGTTTCTAGGACTGGCGCTCAATTACTAGACGAACTCGCCCAGGCAGTTCGATCTCTGGTCCAGCTCTATCAACTGGACTACGTTCGACTTGATCCTCGAAAGGGGTATGTGGGCAGCCTTTCATAAGGTTCAGTCCGAAAACAATCAAATCTTTTTTCTTATATTTTTCCGTCTTTTGTTATCGAGCTGCGACTCGATTAGGTTTAAGGTTTTTATGTTGATAACTCGCTGGCGTCCCTGCGGCCAAAGCCTTTTTAAACCCTTGTAATGATCACAACTCTCTTACGCGAAATCGAAATAAGATCTACTTTTTCTATAAATTCGTTTTATTATGTTTTTCATATTTTCCGCATTTATTTGGTTACTTGTCGTCGGATTTCGCAGAGATCCGGTTCCTCTGGAAAATTAGGGTTTTCCTAAATTTTCTTATTTAAAGGAAATCGACAGTAGGTGAATTTCGGTTCCCACAATGCCTTGAGTCGAGGATGTGGGAGATCGAAGCTCGGGATGGTCAGCTCGACGTACGGCGAGCTGTCAGGAGATGGCCAGCTCGCCGTACAGCGAACTGAACCGGGTTCAGCTCACCGTACGGCGAGCTGGTCTGAGACCGACCAGTTCGCCGTATGGCGAGCTGAACCTGCTGGTTCGGCTCGTCGTACGTTGAACTTGGTTCAGTCGAACCTGCTCGCGGTTAACGGTGGATGCGGTTTTTTGCAGTTTTTGCTTAACTTGGGTAATCACGTAATCGGCGATTGTTTCGTTTGTTCTTCCGAGTTGACGATTTCCAAGTTTTTCCGCGGATTTCCTTTGTTCGGAAAATCTTTAGAGTTTTATAAAACAACTTCTCGTGTTTTATAAAACGTATTTTTATTTTTGTGGAAAGCAATAATTTTGACCTCAACGGAAATAATCGTAGACGTTGATATCGAGATGAACGTTTTTTACACCAACACACGGTACTCTGCTTCTGTTGAGGAGCAAGCTACCCCTTTTTGTTTCTTTGTCAACCATGAAACCGGTTGATAACATATGCATTTGTTGAAACAAAGATGTCGGAGTCACCAGACCAGTCTGCATCGGAGAAGGCATGGAGTGTTGGCAAGGCCTGTTTCCACTGAAGAATTCCATGGTTCAGAGTTCCAGAGAAATAACGAAGTACTCGTTTTACTGCCTACCAATGATCAGTAGTAGGACAGTGCATATAATGCAAGAGTTTGTTGACAGCGTAGAACACATCTGGACGAGTGAGAGAAAGATATTGAAGGCTGCCAACTATCTTGCGGTATGGTTGCAGGTCAGAAAGAGGTGAGCCAGAGCGTAACTTAAGCTTAGGATGAGTGGGAAGTGGAGTCGCAACTGGCTTGGGATGAAGCATATCGGCTTTCTGAAGAAGATCAGTAATATATTTGCGTTGTTTCAAGTGCAGCCCTTGTGATGTGCGAACAGTTTCATGCCCGAGGAAGTAACTTAGATGGCTCATGTATTTGATAGAGAATCGATTAGCGAGAGAGGTGATGAACTGCTTAACCAGGAGAGAATCACTACCAGTGACCAAGATGTCGTCAAGAGATGATGCACATAATTCAGCATATAAGCATATGGCATAACTTCTCTAAGGGGTTTAAGGAGTTTGCAATATTAAAATAAAAATTCATTCTTTCAATCTTTTTCATATATTTAGAGTAGCTAACACAACATTTGATATTTTCCTGGGAATGCTATATTTTTTGTATGAATTTATATTTTCTTGATTATTTTGTTCCATTATATTTATTCAGACTATTTCATGTTTCATATTGAAATGATTTTTCTATTTCAAAAATTTTTGAACTCAATCCTTGTAACTAGTGAAAATTATTGTATACATATGATAGGTAAGTAGTATAATGAGAAAACAAGAAAAAGAAACAAAAAATTTTGAACTCAATCCAGTTACTGTACAACCAAGAGCAAATACTACGGCAGAAGATGAAAAAAAAACAAGACGAGTAGAAGAAAAGGAATAAAGAAGAGCATTTGGGGAATTCTGATTTTTAACATGGACTATGATTGTCACTAAGTTGAGGAAACTTTGGAGCAAGATCGCTACGACATACAGGACACACCGTGTGGTTAGAGAGCCACGTGTCAGCACATAATTGGTGAAACCCATGGTTGCAACCGGGAACCAGACGGGCCGATTGGCAAATCTCGATATCTTCAAGGCAAACGGCGCACTCCGTCGACCTCGCCGCTAAGGCAAGCTCTTTTCCAGTGAGTTTTGGGAGTTGCTCGAGCTCCAAGACAGAGAGACCTTTACCGATGACCGGCTTCACCGGTTCAGCAAATCTAAGAAGTTCAATACGGCGTCGTGTAGAGCACCACAAGAACAAGAGGTAGATAAGGAAGACAATGCACATGCCAACGCAGGGAAGGAGGAGGGCCATGAATAGGGTAGCTAACATGGTTCCTCTACCACTGGATCCAGCTGTGGCGGTGATGGTGGGTGGAGGAGAAGGCAATAAAATTGGTGAGATGCGTGTGTAGTGGCATCCTACACCGTCTTTCGCTCTCAGGCTCAAATTTCTTATAAAATTATAAAAAGCAAAAAGGAAAAGAGAAAAAGTTATATTCCTGCTTTAGACCAGAAAATTGTGAAAAATGTTTAGAGGAGCGGTTGTGAATGAAAACTTTTTGAAAATAGTGTAACGGCTATATATAAAGAGATACCGGACCCTAGCCACTTGAGATTTTAGGTTATTTTATAAAAATACTTTGACTAAACAGATAATAAAAAATGTGAATCATAATGAAGTATCAAGACAAATTAGTTACCAAATATGTGTTTAAGATTTAATGATTATTATTTAGCGTGATAGTAATTCAGAGGTGGAATTGGGTTTATATATATATATATATATATATATATATATATATATATATTTTTTTTTTTTTTTTCATCAACTTAAACAGACTTAAACTCACTCTGTAAACTATAATGGTAACTTCGCATCCATGTGAACGACAAAAAACTTTCTTGACATTCAATGCTAGGCTGTCTGCCTTCTTATTCTGTGTTCCGGGTACATGAATGATCTCCGAGATGAGGAAGACTTCTTGCAGGGCCTTGATGTCGTCCAAATTTCTCATGCAATCCATTGCCCATATCAACACCTCGACCTCTGAATGAAGGGGTGAGAGACAAGCTCGAGCATTCCTTGCTCCCATCAATCTGTTAAAACCTTCTAAAGTACTATACCATCCTTATCCTGAGAAAGTATCATTATTCTTCCACGATCCATCTGTAAGGCACCACCGCCCTGGAATTGATGGTATTATAACTGCCTCCACATGTTGTACCAGTCCGTCCCTGTGTATCAAGGCTTGTGTCTCTATCGAAAGTGTTGATTTTTTCTTTGCTAATTTGAGCGTATCTCTGGGGTTAATATCTAAATTACTAAAAACCTTGTTGTTCATTCCTTTCCAGATATACCATAAAATCTAAGCAAATTGATGATCCTGTAATTTCGGTTTCACTCTCCAAAATAAATAATCCATGTTTTTAAATAGGGACTCAAAAGAAAAAATAGCTGGATTAGAAAGTATCCGTCAGAGATCCCGAACCTGTCTCGCCGGAGGACAATCAAAGTACACATGGTTTATGGATTCCTCTGAAGCTCCGCATCTAGCAAAACATACATCCTCATGTAGTCCTCTGGCTTGCAAATTTTTCTTTACTCCTATACATCCTGACACCAATTGCCATAAGAAATGCCTGATCTTTGGGGGGGGGGGGGACATCTTTCTTTCCAACAAAATGATTTCAGAATATCAACTGTGGGTCCAAACATTACTGGTGGTTTTTCCCTATCGGGATAAACCCTTTCCACATGGTAACTTGATTTAACAGTGTATTTTTCAGTACTTGTGAAATGCATTCCATCCTTATCCACCAATGAGTCCTGCTAAGCGGTATACTCTCTAAAAATTTGATATCCAAAGGATCCACTAAAGCCTGAATTGCCTGTGAATTCCACGTTCATGAACCTTAATCAATGAGAGAATCAACTGTAAGGTCAGGGTAACTAGTATGTTGGTTTTTGTTTGCTGGTCTCGGGCGAGTGGTTGGGAAACCAGGGGCCGTTCCATACAGAGATAGAGGATCATGTTCCCACCCTTTTGATTAGTCCTTTGCTAACCAAAGATCTAGTAGAAACCATACTCCTCCAGCTATATGACGGAGAGTATGATCGGATCGGTTCCAGGGGTGAAGCGTTCCTGAAGTACCATCCTTTGAAAACTCGTGCAAAGGTACCGGGTTTCTCAATCAATCGCCACAGATTCTTACCAAGCATCACAGTATTAAAATCTGTGAGGTCTTTAAAACCCATGCCTCCTTCATTCTTGTGTAAACATAATTTATACCAAGATTTCCAATGCATTCCTTTTGTTCTCCCGTTTAGACTTCACCAGAACTGTGATACCACACTCGTTAGTTTCTTTGCGGTTGCATTTGTTAACCGATAAACTGACATCACATTATTCAAAAAGGCTATTATGACTAATTTAATAATCACCTATTTCCCTCCTTTGGTAAAATATTTAAATGTCCATCAATTAACCCTACTATTCAGACGATCTTGAATAAATTCAAACACTCGTATCTTGGATCCTCCAATATTCTCTGGAAGTCCCAAATAAGATCCCATTTCAATTCTGAATTCCCAAGATATCCCGTAACTCCTGCCAGCTGGTTTCCTCAATCTTATGGCTAAACTGAATTGAAGACTTTTGAAAATTAATTTTCTGACCTGACACAGCCTCATACTCCTTTAAAATCTTCAAAATGGTGTGGCAATCTTGTCTCTGAACCTTGCAAAAGAAAAGGCTAACCAAATCCTACAAGAATAGAAAGGCTAACCAAATCCCAAAGTAACTCATAAAAAAAAGAACATAAGGATGCTCGTAGAGCTTATTAAGAAAACCAAGAAAGTAATACCAAAACCACTATAATTGTGACGCCTGAACTCTCCGTAGGATGTAAAAAACCATAACTCTAGTTTGGATTTTTGAAAGAGGGAGGCTTACGGTTTGAGGGACCCTTGTCCTCTTTCTTTCTTATGGTGCCCCCCTGCTTCTGACCTGTCTTTCCTGAAGGATTTTTACGTGGAGATAACACTGCTTAGGCCAGCATCTTCTTGGATGTCCCTACTGCCAGAGCTGACTGCGCGAAAAGAGCTTTGTGTGTGCCTTTCTATTTCTCCCCATTATCCTCTTCAAGTTCATGATCCCCTGTTTCCACTGTTTGAGGTGAAGCCTCACTAAACCTACCTGTATCCTCATTTAACGTGTTCAAGTCGTCCATCTCACCATCCGTGAGGCTTTGGAAGTCCTCACCAGAAATGAAACTTTCATAATCCTCAGTATTGATCCCCGAATCATCAATGTCCATAACATAGTCTTCTAAATTATTTTCCCCAAGTTCAACTTATTCCTTAGCTAAAATTAGACCAGTGTCCAGTATCCCAACAACTAAACCAGTACTTTGGCGATTTTTGAAATCCATGGATTTAACAATTACCTCTACGGATGAATTGGAAATAGCACATTGTTCATGTTGCTTCTCTATTGCAATGATAGGTACTGATGAAAACTCCTCCTGCTGTGCACCTCGCTTCTCTCCTTCATTGTTCTGTATTTCACCTTCCTCTTTTGGCTCTTCACGGACATTGGCCTAAGGACTCCGATCACGTCCAGAGTCGCAGTAAACATTATACATATTTTATAAACTACTTTTAAAAATTTATAAATGATTTTGTAGGGTTAATTTATGATTTTTATCATTAAATTAAATTATTTTGACAATAGTTATCATTTAAAGGTAAATTGGAAAAGTGGTATCAAAATTTGTGATAAAACTGAAATTCTCCCAAACAAGTTCTTATATTATGTTTGTTATCATATTTGTTTTCTTATCTTTGTCTCATCTTATTTTACCTACAAAAATAATAACACACTAGATGATAACCCGCGCGCATGCGCGAGGTGAAATTTTAATACTAATATTTATTCATTAAATGGTTTTTAGCATTTTGCAATACTACAATATTCATCGATTATAAAATGATGAATACAAATGTTGGTATCTTAAATCATCATAGGTCTGGACGTTTCAGACTTCGTCGGTTTTAGTTTGATTGACACGTATTTTCAGATTTTGGTATTATTCTCATAAATTATATTTGAATTTTACTAATTATCTGATTGGATTCGATTTGATCTTCTCAATTCAGTTTGGATTGGATTGTAACCAATATCTGAAATCATCCCAAAAAATATTTGTTAAACAGTAAAAGTTGACGAAAAAATAAAAATATTTAAACTATTAATCTAATTTAGAATTAGTTAAATTATTTAAACAAACTAAAAGCTATTGAAAAAAGAAGCAAATAAAACAAACTACAAAAATCTTTCGAATACTATAATTTGTATCTACTAACCTCAAACCTTTTCACTGAAATTTTTAAATTAACATATTTATAATAAGAATATCTACTAATGATACTTCATATTCGTACGATTTATGATAATTTGTATCTTCTTTGTAAAAAAAAAAAGTTAAACCATTGATCATAAAATTTTCAATGTGGGATTTTACTATTTTTAGTTATTTATGGTTGTTTTAAAAAATTAAAAATATAACCTATAAGAACTTTTTTTTTTATTATATATTTAAATGTGATTGTTTAATTTATTTTAATAATTTAAAATTAAACAAAAAAGAGAGAAGATACAAAAATATGTATTATTCATAATCATTAATTACATATATATGTTAATCATATTAGGTAATTCCGTAGTTTTTATTTAAGGAAATAAAATATATTGTTTTATACCTAGCAGAGTTGGTCCCTTAAAAAATGTCTATATATTATAGTCCTAAATGCAAGAAATTAAATGTTACATTATTTCATTCCTAGAAAAGTTGTTCCATTAAAAAATTAAAGCTGAGAAGTTCTGTGAGCTTCACACGTAAGCATGCTCTCCAAGGTTGTGAATTTATGAATGCTTCAGGATTAATATATAAGGGATCTTTACACAATAAAATACCTTAATTTGTTTGTACATCTGAAAGACAAAGACTTTAATGGGCAAGTGATCTTGTCGATTGATACTTTCCGAGTAGCCTCCTTAAAGCAGAAAATTGGAGAACGACTAGCTAAAAAAGAGGAGGAAGTGGATGAGGCTCATCCTCATACTACAGTTTCTGAGATAGGACATCTTGGAATCCGAACTTGCTAAATCAATTCTTCAAGGATCGGTAATAGCAATGCTAGTGGCCTAGAGTTGAATCTTAAGGATGACATGGGTAATAAAGTTTTGGACTACGTACCTTGGAAGCGTCTTGGCCTACACACTTTGATGGAAAAACTACTTTGAGCAGCGTCATGTATGAGAGACATTATGATCTCTTCCATCCAGTGTTCCCTAACCCAACTAGACCCACGATCCAAAATTAGTCGGCCGTTTGTCCAAATTTAACTCCAATATTCACAAAGTCATTTTTGATTACATAAGATTCAAATTATTCAATTAAGATAAGTATAAACAAAAAGATAAATTGGTACTTTATTGATCATAAAAATATGATACAGTACATAGGTTCAAGTTGTATAATAGGTTATTATAAGTTCATTCCTAGTCCGATGTATCCTTACACCCCACACCATCACACAACTTGAGTCTTCACGGCTCCTTAGCCTCACCACAATTACCCTCTGAACCAGACATAAACCACATATAACACAATCTTATCCCATAATCCGATATCCTAAAAATCTATCTAGACATGCATGGTTCGATTTCTCTAGTTCAATCCATAAATCTCAATCAATATCATCATATAACACTCGGCCATTGATATACCATGATTTTGACCTGTTTTTAGTCATCGTATATTGGTGTTCTTACTACTATTTACTATACTATAGAAGCTTTTAAGAATATTTATGAGTTCCGGATATTTTTTGGAAGAATGTGATGTTTTTGGAGCATTTTGGAGAGAATTGGAAGAAGCGTTCGATTTGAAATCGATCACGAGGTCGACACAGAGAGACTCGGATCGATTGACATGAAATCTGCATGATCGATCGATAATCAAGACCCATAAGCCAATTCGTGAGACAAGTTGACTTGAAGCCCAGTCATCACCAAATGATGATTTTACCCCTGACGAGTTTTAACCTAAGTTTGTATACTTTGCCAAAGTGTAAGAGGCAAGACAAAGATTTTTATTATAAAATTTTCACAACAAAGTTTTACGGTTTTTAAGTTTGGAGAGAAGATCATAAAAGAGATTTGAGATTGGAACTCCAGTGTTTTCTACCTATCTATTTATTTATAATACACAATTTTTTTAATCTATTTGTGTTATTTAGAATTGCTAGTTGTGATACTTATTAATAGGATTTTCTTAATGCTCATGGTTCTAGAGTAGCTAACAAGAAACATTGAATCCTGGATGTAGGAGATGGGTTGCACCCCTCCACAAGGCCCATCAAATGAAGAAGCTTAGCCCGACGTGACGATCTATTCGGCCTGCCCAATAGACACGTAGGAACGGCTCGACTTCATAGCGCTTCTAGTAGATCGACTAAAGCATTTCAGAAGAGTCAACAGAAGGACGTTTTAGTCGGGCCTACTAAACGGGCCCAAAGAGAAAGGAAGCCCAACAAGGCTCGGATGAAATAGGGCAAACAGCAAGACGAGGTCTATAAAAGCAGAGAGGCAGCAGCGAGAAAAGGGATCCACACTTTGACATACATACTAGGCGGCTAGATCTAGGGTTTCTTGACTTCCACAGATATTAGGTGGCTAGATCTAGGGTTTCTAGAATTTGATAGATACTCACCTCTCTGTATTTCCCCGGTCGCCTCTCCGAGCACCGGCTAGTTCGTCTCTTTACTTACCTCTTATAACCTCCTGTTCAGATCTAGTAAAAGAGCGTCTTTGTCCGCCCCATCTCACTCTTTATATTGTTCTTGAATAATATTCACCTCAAACAATTTGGCGCCCACCGTGGGGCTTTGAAAAAAGCAACGTTATCAGATCTAGACATGCCAGACGACAGAAACGTCTCCGGAACCGCGTGGGAAGAGCCGACTCCGACCCCCGAACCCAAAACACCTCTTCCGGCCGACTTCATGAGCTCCGTCATGGCGCGTTTCGCCAGACAGGACGAGATCCAAAAGGAGACTCAAGCACCGCCGCGCTTGTCGCAGCATTAACATCAGCTCCCGCCAGACAGACCAGTAACCCTCAACCGTTCCGACGTCATCTCTTCAACACTAACCCTACGGCGCCGGTAACTAACCACACCTCCGAAGAGTCGGAACCCACCGAAACTCACGCTGTAGAAACAGCTCAGGTCACCCAGGATGTCACGACTATCCGTGAAATTGTCGAGTTCAAACTCAACCTCCAACATATGAGCTCCACGATTCACAACGTCACTAGCGCCGTTCCACAGATCGAGAATGTTCTCGCTTCAACCGAGCGTACCCTGTTTACCAGCACGCTGCCAACGTAAACTTCAGCAAAATTGAGAAGTTGTGCATCCCACAATACAAGCCCGGCGGCGGTACTGTAGAGCATATGACAGCCTTCAACATCACGATGGCCCGAGCGCGACTACCCGATAACGAAAAGGACACCGCCTACTGTCAGCTGTCCGTGAAAACACTTCACGACCAAGCCTTGACCTAGTTCTCAGGCCTCAAGGAGAACTCCATCAGCAGCTTCAGGGAGCTCTCGTCGGCTTTCCTCAATACCTACATCATGTTCACTAAGCGCGAAGCGACAGCCTCCAGCTTGTGGAACCTAAAACAGACCAAGGACCAGAGTCTCCGAGACTTCATGGAGCGCTTCAAGTCGATCATCTCAAAGATCGACACTTCTGACTACATTGCCGTCGACGCTTTGATGAACACCCTCCATCTCGACTCCAAGTTCCGAGAAGCCCTATACTGGAGCACCTCACGACGCTCCAGGACGCCATTGCTCGTTCACACAATTTCATCCACATGGAGGAAGACACGAAAGCAATCATGGGCAAACATAACGCAGCGAAGGCGGCAACGCTTAAGACCGCCGACGCAAAGCCGGAGCCGCGTCAACATGCTCCCGGCGACAAGAAACACCAAAAAAACGGTCTTTTGTTTGTCGTTGACGAGAACAACACGCCAGTTGCAAGTTTCTCAGTACGCGGCGAGCCATGGAACGTGTACAACCGGGAGACGGCAGCTCTGAAAAGTCGTGCTAATCCTGCCGGACCAGCTCAATCTGCGCCGCCAGCTACCGCAGGCGCCGGATCTTCTAAATGAGTCGACCTCTCCAAGCACTGTAAGTACCGTGACATCAAGGGGCACGACACTACCGAATGTAGAACGATGTACACTCAATTTCTCTCATCGGTCGAAAACAGCGACTTCAAAGTTCAGCTTCCAAAGCCAAAACCAAAATCCGGCAAGAGTTGGTCTAAGAACAAAGAAAAATGCGCGCAGCGAAAGTCCGGTGGTAAAGGCGCAGAGCAACGTCATGCAGACGGCAA